CAGCACTAAGTTAGCATGATGTTCATCTCTCCCAATTTGTGCTTTTTTTTGTTTCCAGTGGAATTTTTCTATTGATCAAAATCCAAATTAACTAGATAAAAGCTGAATTTGTCTTCTACTCTGATTGTGACACCTCCCTACACAAGCACAGGTATCCGTGTGAGCTGTGCTAATAGTTTGCCTATCACTAATATCAATGCGTGCCCTATCTGTACATCTGTGCTCTGAGACTGTAACATTTACAAATGTTAGGAACAGAGAAAAGGCATGTTTGCATACAGCAGATGTTTCGATTATAATTCACAATGAAACAAGGCAGTGAAAACCGCCTCTTCCAAAGAGATGAGATATTGCAGACTGCTTTGAAAAATAGTCACAAGTTACTCGGCTGTGCTGGATTTCAGGCCAGTTTACGAAGTGTTTCGCTCAGCTAGTCCAACATTAGCTATTTTTATACGATTCTCGTGCAGATTTTGAGGGAACTATTAAAATATAGCAAAAAAAACAAAGTCCTTGCACTAACTGATGGTGAGAGAGTCAACGAGGCAACACAAAGTGTAATTTTCTCAGATGTCGAGGTTTTGCACGGCTTTCATAAACAGTAAAATGTTTGTTATATCAGAACTTATTCGGCAAATGTTTTTCCATCTCCCCTTTAGCGCATTAACTTTGCTTTAGAATAACTAGGAACCACCTCAAGCGAGCGTAAAATTATGTTGTTGTTTTTTTTTTTATCAAACTTGAGGAAGTTCATATTAATTTCGTCATTTCCATCAACCTCTTCTAACATATAGCAAAAATTTTAAAAAATGTTAATGGAAACACGGCCATTGCTACATGTGCAGCACACACGACCTGTCACTACACATTGCATTTATTGCTTCCCATTCAGATCCCATTATATAAAACTGATAAAATTAACTTCTTGATTATGATGTTTAAAAGTGGAGAAATAAGTGGACTCACTTAGGGTAATTATTGCCTTTTTATGCTGCTGTATTTTATTTATTTTTTTTAGCATCTGCAGATTTCTCTGTCTGCTTTAAATAATTCATTGCACCGCTCGGGTCTTGTACATGACCTGATCCACTTGACTGAAGTAGGCGGCACGGAGCCGGTCCGTTACCGGTGGGAGAAGAAATGAATGGTGTAATTTAAAGTAGCAGTCACAGAGCCTGAGGAAGAAAATAGTTACATATTTTTTTGTGCAAAGAACATTTAGTTGTCTCTAAACTCTTTGTCCCATTTTTCAAGCTAAAGCATACAGCTTTAATTTCTCACCCTGGTCAAATAATTTCCCCAAAATAAAAGCGTTTTGTCAAGGTGTGCTGTAGCCGGAAATGTCTCTGTTTTGTTCAACTTTATTGTGATAGACAATAGAAAGTTGCATGTAATTTTATAGATTTTATTTTGTTTTTAACATGACAGCAGTATAAAATAGCACATGCGAACAAGGAATGCAAAAGACATATTTTTTGTACCACAATAATCTTAACATGTTTGAAAAGTAGAAGAAAGATTATACAGAGCAGTTAGAGCTTTGAAAAGTGGAAATGTGTTGTTTTATCCTCCTTTACTTCAATTCCCTTTAAGAAAATTGACTGCAAACATTTACTGTAATCACTATAATTGATTATAGCAAATTGTGGAACTGAGAAGATGGATATAGCTGTTACTGGCACAAGTACACAACTTATTTTTCCCTAACTTTATAACTTGCTTCCAAAGGCAACATGTAGGACTGGATGTTATTTAGTGGCATCGGAATAAATGGGGTAAATACAACCACATAGTGTTGATTATTACAAACATACACTGATGATAAAAAATAAATAAATAAATAAATAATTTTCATTACAGTGTAAACATTTGATTCTTATTCATCATGTCACATCTGCTTTAACTCATTGATATTCACAGTATTTGATTTTCCCTCGGTTCATTTCTGTGTATGTACACAGATTCTTACACGCTTGTGTTTTTTGTGAGGCCGACGGATGCATAACCGAAAGGCTCTCGTCTCAGCACATCAGCAGATGATTGGCTCCCCACGGTGCATCTTTGATTATTCAGCTAACAGACCTCCGCAGCAAGTGTATGCAAACCTCTCTGCGAGGCGCTCGCCGCCTCCCTCTGCGTTCTTTAAAAAACCAGTCCCTCCGTCTTCCTCTTCTTCGCTAATTCTCTGCCTACATCTGTCGCTTGTCTCTTTTCTCCCTCCCTGCTACAGCGACTCCCAAGTTTAACAAGCTGCCAGGGGACTTACATGAGAGTACACCCAGAAATTTGTTAAAGGGATCTAAACAAGGGATGACTCATCCCCAGATGGCTCTATTTCCATCTTTTCAGATCTGACTTTTTTTTTTTACCCCCTTTACCCACTGGTTTTGAGATCTTTATCAAGTTAGACAACTTTTTTTTTTCCAGGAAAGATAAATAAAAGTGGCTTGATCATTGCAGGTCTCTGAGTGATGCATCAGAATGTAACCAAATCTTGTAGCAAAGAAGATTCTGTATTTAGATTCCACATAATCACTAAATATTTCCACATTCTCTTCTTCTTAGCGCCACAAACTTCATTGCATTTTGTTGATTTCTGATCAGTAGTGCCAAATTGAGATTAAAATACATGTTTATTTTTACTTTTTATAAAATGAAATTTGCAAAGTTTGAATAGAACCCCCCTTTATCCACTACTTTGCTACTTCAATTGCAATTACAGCCAAACGTCTTTGAATGGTCTTCTCTAGTCTATGGAAAATGTCTCAGTTGACAGATTTTCATCTGGATTTTCATCTGAACTTTTATTATCCTATTCTAATAGGTGAAAGATGAACCTCTGAATAGTCTCATAGCTTTGCATTTAGCTTCACCCATCTTCCCATTAACTCTGATCAGTTTCCCTATGCATTCTAAAGAAGAGCATCCCCTTGTGGCAAAAGGCAAACTAGACATCTTATGGCTTTTCTAAGCAAAAGCTGTCCTTTTGCTTCAATCTTAATTTAGTTGAAATTGGACATATCCACAAAGCCACTGGATTCAGTGAGGGTCTCTTTTGGTTGTTGCTTGCTTTGGATTTCATCTTTCGCTGTCAACGTCAATGAATCCCTCTTTTGCGAGTTTTGTTTGTAAAAAATAGTTAAAAACTCTACTGTCTGACTTCCACTGCGTTATTAATGTAAAAATTGAGGGAATCTAAGTAGCACTGTCCATCAATTGGTGTCCACCATCTTCCCAGGTCTTTTTTTTTTTTTTTTTTTTTGTGTGCCCGTGCCGCCTTCAGAGTCACGTGACGTAAACCGATGTTCCCTGAAAATTGTACAGATGTCCAATTCCAAAGCTGGCAAGCACGGACATGTCGACATCACCACTGACAAGAAACATCAAAACAGGTTCTTATCCACCTACAACATGGATGTACCCTGCATTAAGAAGAAGGATTACCAGCTGGACAGCATCAGTGGAATAAGCAACAACATCGATATCAAAGCGTTTTTCTGTAGTATGGAAGACAAAAAAGAAAGATCCTGCTGAGTATAGTGAGAGGAGGTGAAGGGGTCATTAAAGCATCCTGCCAAGTAATTTGCCACTGCAGGAACAGCAGTTCAAACATTGCCAGAAGCTCCTCGAATCCTCCATATGAACAAGGAAGTTGAGGGAAAGTTTTAAGCGGGGGAAGACTTCATGGCCACTGTGATGTCTGCTTTTGGTTGAGGAATGTGTTGTTTGCTAACAAGGCCTATACTCCCAAGGCAACAGACGCGTACGCTGTGTCATCAGTGTTTCAGCCTTCAACAGTCTGATGTCATTTCTCTCATCAGTCGTCTCCTTTTTTCCCCTCCCTCCACCTGGTCGCTTGTTCCTCGTCTTTTCAACTGCTGCTAAAAATAAAGCTTGCCGTCGCTCTGTTGTGCGGCAGCTCGCTCCCTGATTGCTGAGTTTTTGCTCGGAAGCAGTTTGCTTCACAGAAAAATCGTCTTTCAACTGTCTGATAACATTTTCTTTTATGTATTTTGTGAAGTAGTTTTATTGTGAACACAAGGCCAAAGCACTTGGCGCAACAACTTTATCCTGTGCACCGAGTCTTGCCTTTGGAAGTGTGTTGTTGCATAAAGACGCCACAAGTGAATGTGTTGCAAAGAATCAAGCTTCTGCTCACATTCCTGCCTGGTTACTGGTGCAGAATAAAATCCGCAGGGCTTCAGTTCTCCGTTAGCTCACCTGAAATCAACAGAAGCTCCTATGCAGCACAGAGTCTGTCAGTGTTTGTGTCTACATAGACTATCAAAATTGTTTCTTGTGAAGATATTAACGACTCTGACATGTCCTAAATCTTTAAAAAAGCTGTAACCTTGTGCGTCTGCTACATTTTTGCTGTTGTAGACCCCAATTGGTAACCAAAAACACAAATAGAAAGTGGTATCCCCCATTTTATCACAACAGCAACACGCTTCTGAATCGCTCAGTCCTCAAATATTTTTAACGTGGAGCCCCTCTGTGACTCGCCGATCGGATTAATTAAGATTGTAGGAACTCTCTGCGACTGCTACGTTTCCGGCTGCACGACGTTAAAAAGAAGCGGTGTGTTTCCATAACAATGGGTCACATGATAAGACTACTTTTGAGAATCCTACAGAGGATTACTGTCAGACAGCGGCTTCCCAGAGCTCCGCAGAGCGTACAACACCGCTCAGCTCATTGCCTCTTGTTTCTGCTCTTAAGCTTAACTGTGTCACTCTTAAACTCTCTGCAGGCTCATTATCGCACTCATCAACTTTGTTTCTATACTCATTTAAGTTTGCAGCAAGTGTTAAAAAATGTTTAAAAAAAAAAAAGCCCCACTATTTATAGAGTTTAAAAAAAATCCTGCTTTTTTTCTGTGAGTGCGTTGGAAGTTCTTGAAGTGGCCATCAAGTTGGGCTTTTACCTTCATCCTTGTACCCAGCTGTGATGACTTCTCTCCTGACCGTGCACACTGACTGCATTCGTTCCCTCTGCAGGACTTCCTCACAGATCTGATGATGTCTGAGGTGGACCGCTGTGGGGAGAACGAGCACCTGATCTTCAGGGAAAACACTCTAGCCACGAAGGCCATCGAGGAGTACCTGAAGCTGGTTGGTCAGAAGTACCTGCAGGATGCGCTCGGTGAGTAATCAGGGGTCATGGTGACACACATAGGGGGGCAGGGGATAAAAACACAAGATCAAACTTGATGTTTGATCTTAATAGTTACTTGTTCTTCTTCTGCAGCAAGTACATTGGCAGTTATTGGTACCACTGGCAAAGATGTGTGAAAAATACTTAAATTACCCTTAATTTAATGGAAGATGCTGAAAAAATAGCAACATGTAACTTTGATTAGGATTTTTGTCATTATTTTTGCTGGAATGCCTATCAAACCAACCAACTGACATAATGGTAATATGTAGGGGTTGTTATGGAGACATGGTAACACATTGTCTACACCACATAGCATTTCATTGGGCCGGTGATTTCCTTCACTTCTTTCCTTAAATTCGTCCAACTTGTAAGAAGATCGCATCCTCACAGTGTGAAATATACCCGTTTAGTTCTTTTGCTCTTAATTGACAGTTGCAGCTAAAGTATCTCCGCTGTAATCGTCTCTCCCTATTTTTGTCCTTCTCTGTTCCGAGAAAAGATTTGCCACAGCAGCTATTTTCACATTACAAAGCGATGATGATGGAAAAATAACCACCTGAACTTTTTGTCATTTGAAGCTGAAGAAAACGAGGATTTGCCCCCCGATTTGTGGTTCGCTTTGTGTTTGTCCTCTTTGCCGATGCAGTCTAGTCCGCCCTCATTAGCTCTCCCCACGGTGCATCTTAGGGCAAACGATTGTGTTTTGTGAGAGAGTCTTTTTTGTTTTTTGTTTTTTTTCAGGCCATGCTCTCAAACATTGAGCCAACAGTTATGTAAATGACGAGTGAAATTAAGGACACCAACGCTGAGATTAATTATGCTGTTCAGAAGCTGATGAAGGTTGATGTTCTGTACTGGACTGCCGTTGCGTATACGGGTTAAGATGAGATCAGCCAGATATAGAGGAACTCTTTCTAGAAGACCTGCTGCAGAGTGCTCTGGACCGTAGACTAATGCCACAATTTACCATCAAATGATCTGAAGCACAAAGCCAAGGTAACACGGGAGTGGCTTTAAGAGCAATCTGTGGACCTGAATCTAATTAAAAATCTCTGGAATACATCAAATGCCTGTCTACTGAGTTTGACACCTGACACCTTTGATCTGCTTTACTTTAAGCGAACCAGAGTTCGTTTTCACCGTTGGCCCGGATCTTTTGTGCAGGTGTGAATACAAAAGCAAATTCTGACCAAACAACTGGACCGAAATCCATTTTTTTGAGGCAGTCTCGGTCCGCTTCCGAGCGAACTCTGGTGTGGTTTTCCTCTGCTGTGAATTCAGATCGGCCTCGATGCAAACCAACTACAGCATGTATACGTTCTTTTTTGTTGTTGTTTTTTTTTTTTTACTTCAAATGCTCTTTTTGGAGCGCTAACCTTCATCTTTAAATAAAACGAAAGTTTCCCCAACTCTGTTTTTGCATGGATAAAACTTCCAAGACAAGATCGCAGCGGTTTATGATCGTTGTTGCTGCATATTTGTGTTTTGGGTGCTACATGAAGAATACCAGGAGCAGGACTAGTTTTTTGTGCATGAGGTGTTGATTTATCATTAAGGAGAGACCACATCGACCTCATGCCATGACTGCAATGTCCTCATACCCACATCCGGCTGAAAGCACTCAGGAATTTATTAGATGCTTAGCTGGTATGGAAATTGAACAATCCATCACTCTCAGCTGGGGAGAAGCGCACACACCTCCAAAATGTGCATAAACTGTCTGACTAAAGAAGCACAAGTCTTTGATCCACACTATAAATTTGAAATGTACCTGTCACAATAATAATAATAAAAAAAATCACACTATATAAGAGGAGAAAAGTATAATATAATTTACAATAAGCTTGTAGCGGTACAGAAACTTCCTTTAACGCTACAAGCTAATATTGCTAAGGTAAAGATAGTCCAGAGATGGTTTTTTCTTGTCTGCAGGAAACTTAAAACTGATAGTGGAGGTACAGAAACCACCCACATACTTTGTAGGGAAATTATGTACATTGTAATAAAAAACCTTTGTTGTTTAGCTAGTAGGAGCACAGTAAAACTTTGATTGCTTTCATTGTCGCTACGTTTTCCAGATTTGTTTCGATACAGCCAAACTTGTCATGGAAAAGTTTGAAACTGTTGAGTGGTTCTAATCCAACATGAAACATTGAAAAGTTTTACCTCATTTATTCTCAACTTTGCTGTCTTTTGAAAACACATCAACTTGAGATGTCGCCTTAAACTGTTTTTGTTTGTTTGATTGATTCTTTTTTTTCTTTTCTTTTTTTTCCAGGTGAATTTATTAAGGCTCTGTATGAGTCGGATGAAAACTGTGAGGTGGATCCATCCAAGTGTTCCTCTGGTGACCTGCCAGAGCACCAGAGCAACCTGAAGATGTGCTGTGAACTGGCCTTCTGCAAAATCATCAACTCATACTGGTGAGCGCTGTGACTCCTTCATCGGCCTTCTGCGCACATTAATCCCAGAGTGTTTGATTGCATACATTGTTTCACTAATGACGGCCATGCTTCGCCATACATTTTGATTCTTAAGTGTTTTATTAGAAAATCAAACCCATTTGTGCTTTAAATGAACCTTAATTATATCTCGAATTATAAGTCGCACGTAAAGGTGCTATTTTTATGTTTCGCTTTGCCACAGTGTTTTTCCACGAGAACTGAAAGAGGTCTTCGCGTCGTGGCGGCAAGAGTGCAGCAGCAGGGGTCGGCCGGACATCAGCGAGCGGCTGATCAGCGCCTCGCTGTTCCTGCGCTTCCTCTGCCCGGCCATCATGTCGCCGTCACTTTTCCACCTCATGCAGGAGTATCCGGACGACCGCACGGCACGCACGCTCACTCTGATCGCCAAGGTCACGCAAAACCTGGCCAACTTCACCAAGTGAGATTTTTTTTTTTTTGTCGACGCTTTTTCTCTAAACAAAGGCGACACCTTTCGTCAAATCGAGGGCTTTTTAGAAACTTTCTTCAAGGTCTTTCTATGCTTTTTCTCTGTCTGTCTTCAGATTTGGAAACAAGGAGGAATACATGTCTTTCATGAACCAGTTCCTGGAGCACGAGTGGACCAACATGCAGCGTTTCTTGTTGGAAATCTCCAACCCCGAGACGATCTCAAACACGGCCGGCTTCGAAGGCTACATCGACCTCGGCCGCGAGCTCTCGACCCTGCACTCGCTTCTGTCGGAGGTGGTCTCCCAGATGGACCAGGTACGAAATGAACTGTGAGCTAAGGCTCCACTGGCGACTTGTGGGCAAAATATGTAACCAAACAGATAAACGTGAGCATTCAAGTGTGCATTTGTCTTTATTCATGGGAAATGAATACTAGCGATACCTGGTTAAATGTGCCTCATTAAGTTGATTCTGTCCTGAGTACAGGACAGAATCAACTTAATGAGGCACATTTACCTCACTCTGACCTCAACTCTTGAAAATTGGTTAACAGTATAAATAAGCAGATCACAGTTTGACTTTCTTGTTAACATCATGATGATGAATGTTTAAGATGTGGTGTGATACGTGTTGTTCTCATGGGAGGCATCCGACAGAATATAGACCTGAAATTTCATATTGGATAGTAACGTTTCCTCGTATCGCAACTAATTCTGCCAAGAAAAGTGATCAAACAACCACAAACAAATGATGTCCAAAGCTTATTGATGGTGACAGAAAGCCTGCGGAGCCTCTCAGTTTACTAATGGACATTCATCCAGAGCGCATGTGTAGCTGTTAGTTGTGTAATCATGCTGCAATGGAAAAAAAAAAAAGAAAAAGAAACTGGTCAGAAAAATCAATAGGAGACCAAAACTATTACATAAACACTTCTAACCAGAAATCTATGTACTTTTTAATCTATGCTTTATCTTCTAAAAACAAGCTTTGATCTGTACATTTTAAATAATGGATTTATTTGTGTGTAAATGATGCAGCTTTATTTTATTTTAATTGTTTTTTTTTTGGTGCAAAGTGCCGCTCAAGCTGATCAAAGATTCCCTGTGCTCTTTATCTGCATGTTTATCCCAAATCAGTCAATACTTAACGATTTCATTACATAAGGAGTGCACAAAAGAGGGCCAGTGTAAAGTATTTACAAAGTTATGCACATTAACTCCGGTAGCTGCGGACTGCAGATGGTTTTGCTCTTTCTAACACTGTCTTTCAATAATTCAGAAATCACCGTCTGGATGACAGTGCAGTCCACCAGGCTGCCCGTCCTGTTACATTATTAATCATGTTGTCTGAATACGACGGTCAGTTCCACGGTGTGGGGCGAGCCGAGGCGGAGGGGGGAAATAACGTGGTTTAAAAACTATGCAAGTCCAAAATCTTGGATCGTGGCCCCTGCAGAATCTTTCGTCTGGCTCTGATTCCATTGTGTCTGTCTTCACAGAGTACGGCCTCAAAGCTGAGTCCTCTGCCCAGGATCCTTCGGGAGGTTAACACGGCTCTCTCTAACCCGTCCTGCGTCCAGATGACCCCGGGGCCGCCGTCGGAGCCCGTGGGTTCCCCTCCCGCCGAGGCCGGCTGCAGCATCTCCACCGGGCTGCAGAAGATGGTCATAGACAACGAGCTGTCGGGGTGAGAGTCATCGGCGGCGCGTCGTAGGCGCCAACCGAATTTATTTGTGTTCCTGTTATTAGTCAAAGACCCGTATGAGAGCGAGACGCCGAAATATCAACAGAGTGAGCAGCAAATCTGCTGACAGAAAATGCGTTTCTGCTGGTTTTAACTGCAGAGTTTTCCATTTGAACTTCCCATACTATAAATAAACACGACACAGTTCTCAGTTTTTTTTTGTTTTTTTTTCCAAATCTTTCTGCTAAAGACATTAATATACCCTGGTTGAGGTATTTTTAGAAATCTGACAATGACTGAACCAAACCTAGCTGAGACAGATCAATCTGCCTGTGGGGGGGGGGGAAGAGAGAGAGAGAGAGAGAGAGAGAGCTCATTACGAGCTGATTGATCTGTGAATCAGTCTGCAGTCACTGAACGCGTGAATAAAGACCGTTTGGCACACAAGCTCATTTAAGCTTTGCACTGATGTGTTAACTGTTATTTTCACATCCTGATTTGGGGGTCTTGTCCAAGTCCTTTTTTCAGAGTCTTGTAGTTTTCACGTTAATTTTTGGCAAAATACGTCAGCTAGTTTGAATGTATTCCGTTGGGGTTTTATTTGTTAGACGAACACAAAGTGGCAGATGATTGTGAAGTTGAAAGAATACGACGCAACATCCCAAGGCACACACATGAAAGTATACTCCTGTCTCGGAATGGTCTAGTCAAAGTTCAGACCAAAATTAAACAGAGATTCAGACACGTAGCTTAAGAGTCCAAGCAGTCTAAACACAGTCATACAAGCTTTCTTCCATGATGTAAGCTTCCGTTACCCTGTTTGTGTTTAAAAGAAAAAAAACACATAAAAATCTGTTTCATTTTCACTCAGTAGTTGGAGGATTTAGAAAAGTTTGTGAAATTTGAAAGCACTCAATGTTCACAAATATATATATATATATTTTTTTGGCAAAACAGCGCTTCTTGGAAATATTCCAAGACATTCAGGATGCTTGAAAGTGGCAAAAGTGGCATTTTTTACAAGACTTGCAAATATCTACAAAAAAAATAAAAAATAAAATTCCCACAAATCCGATCTGCCTTGAAGCATCTGCATGTCGTTGCTTGTGCATCCTTGTTTTCTCTCCCTGTCTGTTTCAGGTTAATGTCTGCCAGTTCAGCCTGTGACAAGCAGCGAGAGTAGCACCTCTGCTTGTTTGCATCACCTTAGCAAAGCTTTTTTTTTATTTATTTTTTTTTTAATCTTTGATGAATACACGCGCACGTCCGCTTATGCTGCTCGTGTCCTCACGGCACAATGACAAGGAGATGCTTAAAAAGATTAACATGAAAGTGCGAGGACTAATGGCGGTGTTCTGCGATCTGCAGCCGCCGTCGTTACAGAGCAGATGACAACATGTCGAGGGGAAACAGGAAGTGAGTCAGACAGCTTCTATCATTACGCTCATCAGGCTTCAGGATCAATGGAGCTAATTAACTGCTGCCCCCATTTATAACCTGATGTCAGAGCCTCTCATCGTTACTTTATCGTAATAAATGTTTGCGCGCGCACCGACGGTGCACACTCGTGCGTGAACGCGCGCGTGAAGCCGCGCCGACGCGACTGAAATTCAAATGAGCTTCAAGATTCTGCGTTAATTGCTTCCCATCTGCTAACCTGTGACATGAAAAGGAGGAGGGGAGGGGAGACGGCAGGAAGAAATGGGGCAAGAATGAAAAAGAGAAACAGGTTAAAAGAGAGGAAGGGTAAAGAGACTCGGGGAGAAGGACGAGTCGAGGGAGAAACGCCGAGCGTGACGTGAATGATAGGTTCTAGCAGGATGAGTCACAACTGTCAAAGTAAGATGTCTTTTTGGCAATCAGGACTCCATCTGTCAGTGGAGGGGAGGCAGGAAAGGAAAACAGCGGATGAATGAGAAAATGTTTGAGAAAAGGCATCAATATATTTCTTTTTCCGCATTTAAAAGAGGCTCTGTAATTGGGTTTTTTTTTTTGTGCCCATTTTTTTCCTCCTCTTTCAGTCTTTTCAGAGAAACCAGTAGAGTTTCAATATTGGCTCCTTGAATGATTATAACACGAGGCTCAGAGTCCAGGCTTTTCTCCCTGGACTCTGAGCCTCATGTTAGCTGGAATAAGACAAAAATATTTGACGCGATCCAGAATGATCATCTGAATCCTCTTTACTTTGAGTAAATCGGTTTTGTAGGCAAGCAGTTATGATTTAAATGGTTTTCCTTAAAATTCTGTTTATTTCTTTCCAAATTAGACCAAAACTTTATTGCAGTAGAATACACACGAGTCAGCAACAATGCTCACTGAAAAATCCTTACTGTTAGTAATCTGGGATATAATTGAAGTGCTTGAAGTAAATTTGTCGAATGACATCGTCGGCAAAGTTCAGACAAAGCTCATTCAGTCTATTTATTTATACACAGGAAAACAAAGATGTTGGGGGAATGAGGTTAATTGAAACAACATTTCTTTTACGCACTGCTATTGCACTTTGTTTGCTTTTGCTGCTCCTCACTAAATCTTTGTCAGGGCGTAAGATTAGAAAGTCGGGCAGAAGAACATTGCAGTCGGGGATTTGATCTTTCCCCCATTGTGATTGACAGAAGAGGTTTAAACTCCGTCCTTCTCTCTCTGTTCTTTGCTCCTGTTTTGCATCCATGCAGCTTCCGTTTTAACATCTTGGGATTTGGACTCTTAGATCGGGTGTAATTTGAGCTTTAAAGATGCCATTCATCTGCTCCCGGTTGTAAAAACAACACTTTTCTTGTTATGGTTTCGCATCATAGCAACTGTCCAAAAGTGAAAAGCTGTGCAGCATCCAGAAACAAGGAGAGTAATTGTCTAAACACGCAACCTGTCAACCAAAACAAAATACAAACAAAAATCTACAAAAGCAACAAATCAGAACTAACGAAACGGAGCCACTCCAGTATCTGTCATGCCACCAGGAATGGTGCAATTGTAGAATGACCCAGCTAAACTCCTAAACACGGTTGTTTTCCCTTGTCTCTTTCAGATTGGTCGACTTCACCCGGTTACCTTCGCCCACTCCGGAAAATAAGGACATCTTCTTTGTGACGAGGAGCTCGGGTATCCAGCCTTCGCCTGCTCGCAGTTCGAGCTACTCGGAGACTAATGAGCCCGAGCTGGGCATGTCCAACGGCAACAAAAGCTTATCCATGGTGGACCTGCAGGACCCCCGCAATCTGGAGGCTGGGACAGCTCAGAGCCCTTCGGATGTTCTGGGTGAGAGCCAAGCTTCTGGCGGGGGCTGGCCAGCCAGAGTCTCTCAGGGCAACATCCCAGGCGGTCCCACCATGCGGAGGCCGGGTCAGGCCCCCACCACCCCAAACACGGACAGCACTCCTGGCCGACCCACCCAGCTACTCGCCCCGCTGTCCTTCCAGAACCCGGTTTACCAGATGGCGGCCTGCTTGCCGGTGTCTCCTCGAGGAATGACTGATTCGGGGTCAGAGTGCCACAGTTCAGTTAGTTCCCATAGCAACAATGAGGACGGGCCAGCAGGAGGGAAGCAAGCCTTTGTGAACCATAGTGGCGGCGGTGGCGGAGGAGGCGGGGGAAGCAGCGGCGATGAGTACACCCGGCGCTCTGGGGAGTTCAACCGTCGGCAACTGTCGCTAACGGAGACCCAGCACCAGCCCACCGTCCCGAGACAGAACAGCGCCGGCCCCCAGAGGAGGATAGACCAGCCTCCCCCCCCGAGCGTCACGCGAGGCCGCACCCCGCCGAATCTGCTCAGCAGCGGCCCGTACCCTCGCCCCACCTCCGGCAGCATGATGACGTCATCGCCCGACTGGCCGGCCAGCGGCGCTCGTTTGCGGCAGCAGTCGTCCTCCTCTAAAAGTGACAGTCCCGAGACCAAACAGAGAGCTCAGCACAAACAGGTCAGTGTCGAAAAACGCAACCGTAACGATGTCGAAATAAATAATATTAAGTAATAATAAAATAAACTGAAGAAGTTACTTCATAAATCAACCTTGAACTGTCTCCGGAGGTAAATACGGGAGATTACGGGTATTAAAGAAGAGCCATTCATGACGGGAAGCCTTGGTGGGTGTAATCGCAGAGACAGCACTTTTCACCCTAATGAACTCCAGTCACAGCCTGGGTAATAATAGTTATTTCCATGCAGGCAGCCCCGTTCCCCACAGCACCGCTTTACTGGGTATTAGGGTGCTGCAGAAGCACAGCTTGAATCTTATTACATAAATGTGTACTGTGGCCTCCACGCAGCTGAGGTCAGAGGTTTACATACACTAATCAGGGCCATGAAAATCAGTCATTCTGAGCTTGTGAACTGTTTTATTTTTAGGACAAAAAACAAAAAAAAAACACTAAATTGGATGTTTGTTATTCACACTAGGTTAAAATTATACATACACAGTGTTCCTAAATTTGGAAGCTTCACCTCGATGGCTCCAAAGAGCGCATTTTCAGCAACAAGGCAGTACAAAGTGCTTAAACGTTTTATTTGTGACCATTAAGCTGTCCTCAGGAAGAGAGCGTGACGTATGTTGGTAACTGTGGAAGTTAATACTTGAAGGTGTTTATTCTTTTCTGGAAGGATCTCTCTCTGTCCATGCTGATGGTTAACCTGCTTCACTCACATGACCTCTGACAAAAAAAAAAAAAAAAAAAAAAATCGCAGAAAGAAAAAGTTAAATAAACAAAGAAGGCGACTCTTGCTTATGATGATGGTGCTATACGTGCTCTGGTTTGGTTTTAGTATCAGGTAAGTCTGTTTAATGCTTCCAGAATGAAAACCCTGGACACTACATACTGTATCGTATCATCTGATGTCAAAATGTCTGCATCTTGGCTATAATCTTCTCAATCTCTTGTTGAAAATGACAATTGGTTTCCTCTTTAATGGATCAACAAAAACGACACCAGGTTTGATAAGAGTATCTACAGTAAATCAACATTTGCAATAATTTATCCCTACATATGAGGTGAAACACACTGATTCCCTTTATTTTTATTCTACCACTGTAGGCTTTAGTTTTCTATTAACTTGCATGTAATGATGTAATGCCATATCGATGTTAAAATGTTTACAGAATCAGACTTGAGATGTTTTTGCTGATGTAAACACAGGAAACGTTGCTCCGGACATCACAACACACATTAACTCAGCACAAAGACTTCCTCTTTCCTGTAACTCTGAACCTAGCAGGACGAAACGCCTAGCAACGACTCAACCAATCAAAGCTGAGCAGAGAGGGGATCCATCAAATCCAACGAAGCGGGATCACTTTTAAACTAATCTACTCTCTGACAGCTTTTAGCTCCCTCTCTTGATCTCAAGTATCCACTCCCCGTGCTGCCATGACACGAGGCGTTCTCGCACAGATTTGAAAAGTGTGTGTGCGCGCGCGCGCACACACACATACAGACAAGTGTGTGCATCCATTCCACCTGCTGCTTTTCAGCCCAGATCAGTTGGTGCATTTCAAGCTTATTTCTGTTGTTCCTGTTGTGGTTTTTTTGCGACCTCCCTCCTACCCCTTTTCCCTGACACTTTTCATTCAGCTCATCTGTGTGTGTGTGTGTGTGTGTGTTGGTTTTATTAGGCCCCCTCCCCAGTGAACCCCAGTGCGCTGGACCGCACAGCAGCCTGGCTTTTGAATATGAATGTGCAGTATTTAGACCATGAGGGGATGGAGCCCGAGTCACTAAGAAACAGAGAGGATCTGACTCAGGTGGAGAAGGTAACCCCCCGTCATCCAACCTTTGACCTTTAGCAACCCTACACCCTTAGCTTTGATCCCCCCCCCCCCCCCCCCCCCCCCCCCCCTCCCTTTTTTTTTTTTCTCC